GCGACGCGACGCGACGCGACGACAGCTGTTTCTTGTAGCTGCTTATAGCTGCTTGTAGCGCTTAGCACGACTGTGTGCGCCAGGTGTGCGTCTCAGCAGTCTCACCACTCTCTCACCACACCACTCGGGATTTGGCGCGAAACGTCACCGTGTTAGCGAGACACGGGACGGTATCGTGCCACGGCGATCGACTGGAATTGCCCGTAATGCGGGAAGGATGTCGACGATGCGAGCGAGTCCGGTGCGAGCCGTGTCGGCGAGGTCGCTTCTAATACAATTGGAAAGTCCGATGTTTACGTCGCCGACAGCGCGCGATCACAAAATGGCCGAATGTTTCTCGCCGACGTCCTACGGTCCTAGCCTGCCGCCGATCTCGTCAGTCAGAGTCGAGGGAGGAAAGCCGCCGTATCAGCCGTATCACGACGATACTCGCCTCGACTACGCGCTGCCCGATCTTGCCGCGATGCGATCGCAGATCTCCCGATACTTTCACGCTAGATAGATCCTCCGCTGAAACTCGATTGCGCGAGGCTCGCTTATCAAGAGACACGCGTCAAGATTCGCGCATCGCTTCACGTCGCGACACTAGACACTACGCGATAGTTGATACTGGCATTACTAGCTACGATGCTTGCTTTGGCTGATGGCTCGGCCACTCGGCCACGCGACGCCGTCACCGCCAGGCGACGAGGCGGCGAACCGCGTCGCACCGCCTTCGTGCTCACTGCTCGCGACGTCGATGATATCGCGCAATATCTCGAGAATTGCGTAACTGGTCGGTAACAGGCGCGGGAACGTTCTCGCGTCGTTATCTATATATTCTATGACTGACATGGCTTCATTCCGTTTCGTTAAATCTATAGATATATACGTATCGTCAACTACGTTTTCGGTTACTGACAGCCAAAGAGGTCGACAAGAAAAGAAGCGATTTAAGATTTAAAGGGATATTCTTGGAGCGGAGATTTAAATGGATCTCCGTCGCGCGTCCTCTGCTGACGTATGTTGGAATTTCTCTGCAAATTGCGTAACTTGATCGGTCGCTGTGCGCGTCACAGGTCACTGCGCGTCACAGCACGCAGTCGCCACCGTCGCCACTGGCGCCACTGTCGCCCTGGCGCTGCTAGCAGTTGGCACTGTTGGTACATACTCCATGGCACTCGCAGCCGTCACAGTCACAGCGTGTGCGTGTGCGTGTGCGTGTGTGTGTGTGTGTGTAGGTGGGTGGTAGGGAGTCGGAATTCGGCGGAGTCGTCGTCGTCCGTCGTCGTCGGCAATGACGGCAATATGGCCGGCCAGATGTGCAGCGGCAGGGTGTCACGGTGGTGTTAGTGCCGCGCGTTAAGACTTATTCTCGTTATTTATATGTCGAACTACCGCAAATCTTGTCCGAATCTCGCGTGTTTTCATGGGCTCGGTGACATATTGTGTAGAAGCAGGAATACGGCTTGCATGAAGGCATAGCATACGCTCACCGGCCAAGCAAACATGAAGTGAGTAATGCATATATACATGAACGCGATCGCGCGAGGAGAGAGAGAGAGAGAGAGAGAGAGAGAGAGAGAGAGAGAGAGAGAGAGAGAACGTGATGGGCCGAGCGATCGGAGCATTACGGAGCACTACTCTTCCTTGGGCTGTACTTTTCTCTTTTTGCGAGATTTTGTTCAAGATTGTGTGATTCGGTCGCGCCTCCTGAGCTAGACGCCAATTGTAAGAACGCCGCGCCGCGCCGCGCCAATGACGGTCAATATCGGCCAATCCTTATTTCGAATGCTTCGAGCCTCCGACGAGTCTACGTCAATGTCTTTTTCGCTCGCACGGCTGTTTAATTCGCAAACGTGCGATCGTCCACGTTCGGACAAAGAGGATATCGATCACGCGTCGGAGGATTCGGAGCCTTCGAAGGGCGGGCGCGGACCGTTCCTTTAATTCGCGATCGTTTTTTAAATCCTTACTCGGACTTTGGAAATTGGAAGGGAATAGCCCGTCTTGGACGGAGGCTATGACGAACGATGACGAAGGGCACGGACCGTAACGATTTTTGACAGCGTCCAACGATGGCAACGATGGGGCGAGTCGCACGCACGCACGCTCTCGCGCGCACACTTGCATTTGCTTTCACGAGCGCAGAGCGCTTCGTAGAGTCGCGAGTCCTGCCTTTGAAAAACAGCGACAAGCTCGAGCTCCCTCGGCATCCATCGTCTCCCTTTTTACCTCTACCTTCCCAGTTCCCTTGCGTGCACGTATGCTTGCATACGACAGTCCGACGCGTCTTACCATCTTACGTGCATCTGCCGAGCGTCTTTCGAGGCACCTGCAGGCTGCACTCGAGTCATCTAAATTTCTTGCCCAACGTTTCTTCCCATTTCCATGAATATCGCTCACTTTTTCGAGTACTGCGACGATAAACGGTTTCATGTTTCGAAGAATCTACTCGTCACTATGTTCGTTTCAAACTTGTCGATCATCCTACTGTGTCAATTTGTTTCTTTTCTACAAATTGTTAGAGTCGTCAGAGATAAATCTTATTCCTAGATGAAAACATTTTTTTTACAAGTCTATCGGGTATAGAATAATTTCGAGTGTTTTCCTCCATTTGGTAACACGCAATTAGTCGACAGACTATGTCACAACATTATGTCTTTCTTGGCATTCACAATGAGTAACAGAACGCGTCGACTTGTCAACGCCAAATGGAAAGCGTTCCAAACTAATGTAATATCGGAGTGCTTGTAAAAAAATTTCGTCATCTAACACAATAAGGTTTATCCGATTCTCCATCTTCCGAGTATGTACTTCTCATTTGTTTGTAATTTCGCTTGCTCATATAAGTATATCAGATTGCGTCGATGTGTATATACTGCTGTCGGCTGTTGGCTGTCGCCTGTCGCGAAGCAGTCGTTTGACGCTTCAAAAAATGCTAAGGTTGAAGATATCGCGATGACTCGTATGCGTATTACTGAAGCGATTTGGATTTCCGTGGAAAAATCTCAAATGTGTCAAAGCGAATATATGTGTTATTTATATACTTTTATAAACGCGATTCAATGTATAAATAATATTACTATTTACTTTTAACTCGTCCACACGAGTGCGAATCGCTTGTTAAAAGTTAATATGTTAATAAGAAAGCAGTCGAAATTATTGCCTTAGATTTTAATTAGTTTTGCACACGTGCAGTTGTGGATTAGAACAGTTTCAAACAGTCGATTTCAAATAAATATTTACATATACGTATATCGTAACGCGATAGATAAATTGGATTGCGTCCAACATTTAATGCTTCGATTAACAAACGGTTGATATTATCTAATATTTAATAACGAACGAATTGACATAGCGTAGATTTTGCAACCTTGCCTATTGTGCCGTGACTAGCGTGAATTCATTAATTACACCGCGGCGTGCTCAGCCAGCGTTACATGCCATCTGAACTCGGCAAACAATTCTTGCATCTTGTTTTCGAAAAATAATGCCAAGAGATGCGATTAGAAAATTTGTCCAATAATATATAATTATACAATAATATTACATAATTGTATAGTATACAAATATATAAAAGATATATCTATCCTGTATATCTGAGAAAACAAGATTTTTTTTTAATCGTTTATTTAGGCAAATGTACAAATGTACAAAGGTAGATGTACAATGTACTCGTTAAACAATGTTAACAACAATACCTGTAAAAATTTGCATGGATGAAATTCTAATTCTGAATTCTACTTTTTGCAACGTGCTCCGTATAGTGACAGGGAAGGTATACGTATACGAATATCGAACGCTTTTCGGCAAACACACGATATATGACTTCATCCCGATATTTCTTTTCTTCCGATACATGAAATATTGTGTCAATTTCTTTCATTAAAAAAAAAAAAGAAAATTTTTATTTTTTTATTTTTTCTAAGAAAGTGGATCAGTTTATCGAATTTTTTAAACTTTTTTTCACATCTTATTCAATTTTTAGTATAAAAGATTAATGCTTGTGTTTCCATCAATGTAGATTAATTTTAATCTCGATTCAAGTTACTCTTTATCTTTTTTTAATTTTTAAAGCTAGAAAGAGAGATGAAGAATGAGTTAGTGTATGTGAACTGAGATTAAAGTTAATTAGTAGTAACAATGGGTACATATCCTACTCCAATTGTCGCATCTCCAATGTCATGTTTCCAAGTAAATACATATGTATTACTCTTTTAGGTGTTTCGTAAACTCATCGAGATTACAATCTCGGGGTTTCTCTTTGGTCACCGAGTATCGAGCGTGCGAGACGAAAAGTCAGCGCGGCGAAGGCCGCGAGCGACTTCCGCTCAATTCCACGTCATTCTATCTTGCTTTCGCAGAGGCGGTTAAAGAAGGAGGTATAAGCCGAGCCTCCTTCTCGACCTCATCTTCGTTCGTTCGCGTTTCGATTTTCCTGCGATCGATACACGTATACATATATAGATGCATGGGCATCTTTCATGATAATTTCAAGCGATTTTTCCGTCGTCGAGCAGATTTAATGACCACACCTGGAGGATCCATGCGGACGTTTGCTCGAGTAACAAGTTGTGTTCCTACATTCACATCGTGTCTTTGGAGGTGCGAGTGCACGAAGGTTCTCTTTACAACGATTTTGCAACTGGGTCAACGTTTTCCGAATTGTACAAAAGTAACATGATATTTTTTGCACGAATAAAATATCTTCTTTTTTTTTTTCGTGAAATGATTTACTTGAATTCAAATAGCATCGACATTCTAAACGTCAAAGTCAACACAATTTCGTATAATCAATATTATTTTATTCTCATCAATGTTAGCTTCATTTTTCCGATTGGTTCCATGCGTAACCAGTTGGTATAACTTTAGCATTATCAAAACGTTTAATCATATAAAATTACCACGATGACTTTTCATGAAATTTGAACGTTAAGACGAGCTCGATCCCAGATGGTTGTGACTCATTATCACCAGATATGATCGTTTGGCGATAGAACACCCTACATATACCTGCCGGAAATGTTACGTTTTGTGCATTAGCGAGTACGATGATTCGGAGCGTTTTCAACATGTGTTGATGCGCAATACACATAATACCTACATATGTATATACTATGTATATACCTATGTACACGCGACCGACCACTCTATCTCTCCTACTGAGGAGAGAACAAACCGTCGTATAGTATCCCACTGTCATTTGCTAAACCGTGGGTAAAGCCGCGTAATGGCTTTCAATTTCACCTTCAATAACCAAGCTTAATTAATTTTAATGCTGCGATGCAGATTGCTCGAGTAACCCACTTTTACCCTCGCTTAACCAGCTTGGATTTGAAGGGAGCTTTGACCTATTCGCGTGTATTGCAAAAGTTACGATATTATGTACTGATACAAGATATCATTTGAAAGCTAAACAAGAATAATCAATTTCAACGCACAATGAATTAATAAAGACAAAACCGAAACGTTGAGAATAATCTCATTTCAAGTTTTATTCACTCCCCCATATGGATTTTTTAGTTGCATTTATTTATAGGATGTGTATGCAACATGATGGTGACTTGGTACATATCTCTCTAACGTGTAAATACATGTGTATGTATGACTCGAAGGTTGCACGTTCCTTTGTTAAATTTCCATTGTCGCGTCCATTGTGTTACACCTTGCGCCGACTGGGAAAGATTTGTTCATGGCCACTTTTTTACGCACTCTTGCTTGCAGAGAGAGAGAGAGAGAGAGAGAGAGATTCTTGTGCTTCTTTACGTACGTTCTTTACGCGTATGATGTTACATGTCATTGTGCAAACGATTGTAACTCGTTTGATTCAATTTCGATTTTATTCTTTGAATGTGTAACTAATAAAAGTATCAATATACTTTTTCGAAATGTTTGTTTCCACCAAAGCTTTACACGGCTTATAGGCTCTCCCTTGGGGGATTCATCTTTCGTATCACGTGGATACTTCCACTCGTCGTTCCATCCTTTTATATCTTCATTCATCTAACATTCTCGGGAAATTTGAGATGAAATTATCTTTACTTAACAACGTGCATCGCAATTTTGACCTCAAAATCATCTGCGTCATCGATACGTCGAATTGTTAAAAATTTTGTAAGACTTAAAATCTGTTGGACAAAGCTCTGTGTATAGTATTAAGTATTTGTTTCGTTGTTGAAATCGAAAGAAATTGCATTCCGGATTACATGAGACGGCTCAGACATTAGGATCCTGGAGTTAGGGCTCGTGTTATATGTATATGTACGAGAGGAGGAGGAGGAGACTACTCGAGTGTCGAGGCTTGACTTACCTATCCAATTAATGTTGACGCATGATTATACCTACCTGCCATATGCTACTTTCGATGATCGTATTCGTTTCATTAAGGTGAAGCCATATACGCTTCTTTGGGCGCGTTAAAATTACCGTCTTATTCCAAAAAATTAAATTATAAGCTACTTTAACCCAGTTTCTGTCAATGCATCGGTACCTATATCGAATTTTAAACAGTAACAATTTTTATATTTTTGCGTAAACTTTGTTATGACGTATTAAAAAAAAAAAGAATCTACTCTTCGAATAATAAAGAACAATTTTGTACAAACTTTATTTCGTTTTCACTTTTACATTTTTTACGGAAACCTTGTGAAACACACGGTAGTGAAAAGGTGAAAAATTATTCATTAACAGAACGATTATATAAACAAAAAACTCTCACCGTGTATAATATAATAAATGTGTCTTACAATGTAGAATGCCAGACATTTTAGAAATATTTGGCAGAGGTAAAATTTTAATGGCTTATTTTGCAATAAATAATATTTTACGATTAAATGATTATCTACAATATTTTACGATATTAGCAAACGATATTAGAATTCCCTGGGATAAAAAAAAGTTGAGAATGATAGAGAATGATAGAAAAATCCTATCGTTTTGAATATGGAATTTGGTTGGTGTGTGTGTGTGTGAATTCATCGATTTAAATTAGATCTTATAGGAACCTTGTACAAATTTTATAGAACCCGATAAAATATGATAGGATTCATATTTAATCAATCGTAATGCTCGCGAGGTCGACGATAGAAAATGATATAAACTTACAGAAAACGATACAAATTAATAGAAATCCTATCGTTCTCTATCAACTTTTTTTACCTGCAGGATTTAAAATAAGCGTATAAAATAATTTATAGAGACATATTGATGAAAGCCTGTATCAATTTCCCCGTTATCGAGTCTGACATGTCGCTAGGATCGGTTTGATAAACCAAGTGTCGCTGAAAATGCGTCAGTGCTCGACGAGTTTAAACGTTTTCTTTCGATAAGAGAGATTCGAATCGGTCGCGGAAGTCCGTCGAGCCGAGAATTAATAGAGTCGTCACGATTGGATTCGTCATTGTCCGCGCGGTGAGACTCGTATAAACTAACCAGCAATGAGTATGAAAGCGAAACATGCGTGCTCGCTTTTGCGACGTAGAAAATAAATTCGATATCCAATGTCGTATGTGTACCGTCACTTCAATCGCCACTGCTCTCTCTCTCTCTCTCTCTCTCTCTCTCTCTCTCTCTCTCTCTCTCTCTCTCTCTCTCTCTCTCTCTCTCTCTCTCTCTCTCTCTCTCTCTCTCTCTCTCTCTCTCTCTCTCTCTCTCTCTCTCTCTCTCTCTCTCTCTCTCTCTCTCTCTCTCTCTCTCGCGCGCAGAGTACTTTTGTTCTCCTTATATTACAATAAGTACGATACAATGCAACGAGATAATAAAAAAGCGACAAAAACCGCGACGACGTATTATACGTAATATAAATTGCCATTGAACTTTCATAACATTTCTCTCGGTTTAAATTTAAAATGCGAATAATAAAAATAAGATTTGCTTTCTTATATAAATTTGCTAAAATTTGAACAAGATTGAAGATATTTTAAAAATCAGGCTGAAAAAGTTTTAATAATTCTAGAGAAAAAAAAATCTACGTTCTTATCTTTCTCTTATGGTTGAACATGACAGTTGAAGTCGCGAACAATACTCAACGATGCATTTCGTGTTCTTCGCGATTTGATCGTTCGCTGAGAATCCAATCGCGATACTTTCTGGGGGTCAACTCAACGAGATACATTCATACCTACACGGAACAGTAACGATTATTTCATTCGGCGTTTGGTGAAAGGTTAACGCTTCCCTGAGCATTATATACCGAAAATAAAGCGCATTTTCGCGTATACAACAAGCTTCGTTTGCTATAGACTGCAGTATAGGCTTATTGAGATTTACGGTTGTTTTACAATATGCGAAAAGCAGCTAAGGCATTTGTTCCACTTTTACGTAATATATGGTGCTCTCAGTCTGATGGTTACTATATCGGCCGACAGAGACTTACTTCCGACTATTGATATACAATGCCGTTCACGCTTTATGCTCCAAAAGTTTCGACATCCGCGTAGAGGATGATGAATCTGCGCGCGCACGATCGGGAACGTGACGAATCCGCGAAGATTCCGGAAGAAAGGCATCGTTTGTAAACCATCACTTTGAATCACTTTGAATCTCTCGAAAAGCTCAAAGAAGATGTACAAAAAAATTAGATGATATAAATAGAACAAAAATAGTGAACCCCAATCCAAGGATTACTTATACCTAAAAATGAAACTTACTCCAGACAAAGTGGTAATTGCTTCGTAAAATTTTTTCGCTGAAATGGAGGGATTTGGGAATAATAATCTGTTAGTATACTTATAGTAATGTCTATTTATATACAATTAATAATATCTGATTTTACCGATTTGTATTCGATTCGCTGTAATGACGCGTAGCACAGCATCGGACGCGTGCTTTATGACCGCGTGTTATAGACCGGTAATTGTCGTGTGTGCCAAGGCCGGTCTCTGACCCAGCTGATTGACAAAACTTATGCCGAACGCTCCTCGATATTCATTGATCAAAAATTTACGATTTTTACGTATGCGTGCAATGCGATTCTAAGTTATTAACAGAGAAAATTTCGAATTTTAAAGATCTTTCATATACATTTTTACTTCCATGACGTGCGACTATTCCACAATCCGATCGATTCATCCGAGCGATTCGCGAAAATATCGATCCGTATGAGAATGATAGATATATTTCTTGTCTTCTTCGCTTGTGTTATCTACATGCATCGTATATGCGTCGTGCAACGTGGTCGTGTAACACGTAAACGGCTGGTAAACGGCCTCGAAACGCGAATCGCAACGCAACGGACACCGGACACGTTGTCGCGCGTGTCGCGTGTTATCTACTTTGCTTGGCCGTGTATCGTATATATATATATACACAGCAGTAGCAAGTAGCAGGATAGTCGAGGAAGTGAGTGGCGGTATCTCGCCACGTCCTACCTCGTCCTGTTCCCGTTTTGCCAACGGAGGGAGTACTGAAAACTCTGCCCCTCTCTCTCTCTCTCTCTCATGCTCTCTTCAGTGAAAGCGACAGCCACCAAGCAAGCGAGTCTTCCGCGCCGCAGATCGCGCGAATTAGGATTGAATGTCGTAGACATTTTATTACATCGCGCGTAAACTGTGCGCATAAACTTAAACTTAAACTCTTACTCCGTTTCCAGTTGGTTGTAATAACGCCATGCGTTATTTTATCATTATTTTACGTGGCTCCTAATTATGGCGAGAGAGAAAATTTCGGTGCTATAAAAATGATCACTCAGCGAGAAGAAGCTCTTCGCCTCTTCGCCAAGTGATCCAGGGATGTGGGACTCCCGCGAAAATTCCTTCTCCAAGATTGGCAGGACGAGATGGTCCTACGAGACTTACTCATCCGCGCGCGAGAATCGGGCACAGAATCGAGACACGTTCGCAAGGATGCGCCCTTCCGTAACGACGCGAGAGGATCCCGCGTCGCAGCAGCGATCTGCGAGGGTGAATGTACAACAACGTTCGAGCTATCTATACCGCCAGCAACGCTCTTCTTGGCAACAGGATAATCGTTCGTGGTACACAATGCGCGCGTCAATTTTTTCTCTCCTTCACGGTTCTTCGCCTTCTTGCCTCACATTATCGCAATATTCATAAAGTTGTTCAAGTTTCTCATTTGTTTCTTCATAAACGATTAATCGACAATCCAAAGTTTCCATACCTGGACAATGTTGGGGGTGCCAAAGTTTCCACATGTTGATGACACAAGTCGACACAACTATCATTCTGTCTTTATTACTTATTCAATGTCAAGAAAGATGGAACGATGTCACTAAATGGAAAGCATTCTTTTTAAATATTTGTTTTATACGCTTATGTGTGTGTGTGTGTGTGTGTGTGTGTGTGTGTGTACATACATATATTCAGTCTGCTTCTAATCTGATGTATCCGCAGCTATGCGTTGTTCGGTGGAATGGTTATGAAGCGATTATTAGAAATGTAATAAAGTCGTAAATGGTAAATTAATCGGAGAAGATTGTGTATAATCTATATTTCGTCGATTTGTTGTTCGTTTTGCCATTCGGATTATGCGACTTTCTCGTATATAAGAGTAGAAGAAAAAAAAATAACGGCGTCAGAGATATGTGCACCACATGTACCACCCACGATTCAGTTCGGTGCAACATTTATTTATTTCCTTAGCTCTTTAGATAACAACTGCTTTAATTTATGCAAATATACCTACTTTCCTTACATTCCAATCTTCAATTTTTTACTCTTATATAGATAAATAATGAAATTAATTAAAAAAATTGCATCATTGACAACTTGGCACTTTTCTATTGGATAAAACGATTCTCGTTCTCTCTCCTCCTCGAGACAACGTTATGACGAGAACAAAAGAACTTGAGAGAATAATTGCAAATAAAGAATAAAAAAAATCAAAAGAATTGATTAAAAGGGCAAAAAATCGATCAAAGTAAAACTAGTTTCGTGGCTCCATGGAATTTTTTTAATTCCACGAATAAATCAAATATAAATAAATTGCTTGTATGAGCCTCTGCGGTTGTTGGTGCATAAATAATAGATTTATAAGGCGATGAGATATATTTGTAAATAATTGGGATGTACTTATCAACCAAGTAATATAGGCGCCCTATAAATATACCTATATCGTTTACACATTAACAACCACGGAATCTCATATAGCCAATTTACAAAAAGCGATATTTTGTCGTTTACAGTGAAGTGAGCATATCATCCGCCCGCGCGTCGGTGATGGTGTACGACGACGTGAACAAGAAATGGATACCGAGTGGCAGCTCGTCCGGTCTGTCCAAGGTCCAGCTCTATCACCATCAAGTGAACAATACGTTTCGTGTGGTCGGCAGGAAGTTGCAGGACCACGAAATTGTCATCAACTGTGCGATCCTAAAGGGACTCAAGTACAATCAAGCCACGGTCACGTTTCACCAGTGGCGAGATAACAAGCAAGTCTATGGGCTCAATTTTTCCAGTAAAGATGACGCCGATGCCTTCGCTCGGGCGATGCTCCAGGCACTCGATGTAATTTATTATATTTCTTTTATCTTATAGTTTTATTAGAATTAACTCTGACTTACCATCCCGGATTTCACTATCTATTCTATTCTAGTCTTCTGGATCTATAGTTTTAATATCGTTAACACCTATTACGGCAATTTTTGATTAGGAGCGGCCAAATTTTCTGACAAACATTCGTTCCGACAAACATTCAACTTGGGTGCTATTAACCAGAAAGAAAAAAAAGAGACGTAGGGGTAAAAAACGTTTGCTATCGTGGAACATCGATTTCAGTTACGGCAATTACAATTTGTTAGGCGTTGTTATAATTGGATATATTATCGTTAATTTTAACTTTTAATTACACATTACGTCTTGTTGCGATGTTGCGTAGGTGCTGAGTAATGGTAGCAACATATCAAGGAGTCTTGCTCCGACAACCAACACGACTACTCAACAGCAAACCGCCTATCAACAGCAGCAGCAGCAGCAGCAACAGCAGCAGCAGCAGCAGCAACAACAACAACAACAGCAGCAGAGCCAAGCAACCGTTCAATATGAGGAAGATATGGGATACAGGTATGTCTCTTTTGTTTTCTTCTTGTTTCTTTTACATTTCAAACAATTTACAATGTAATCTATTATCTCATTACTGTAATTACTTTCTGTCGCGAAATATAAGACAGTGCACACAACATTCAGTCAATCCCTGTCATGTTTTCGAACGAAACTCAGGTGATGTCGTTCTTTCTTTTTATTTGTAAAATGTAAATTTCTTTACAATAAATACAACGAATCAGTGTGGAGACATCATTACATGAGGCAGCTTTTGATATACATCATGTGGTTGTTATACAGGACGACATATGTATATCGTATACATATATGTAGAAGCGCGAAAAGCTTGTAGGGTGACAATTTACTTTATGGACATAGACCTATTTCAATTTCCCTATCGTTCATCTAAAACGAGTCACACATCTGTCCTGACTGGTTATAGTCAAGGTCGTAACGCGCGGATTTCCTTGTCCCTGAGCCATCTGCCTACAGGAGGCCAGACGGCCCTGCCCGTGGGTTCCGCCACCACAACTCCCGAACACCACGTGAACGTTAGTGGTGTTGTTGGCACCGTTATTCAAATGGGCTGTGCGCGTGGCTCATCGGGCGATGGATACACGAGGTGATCTTCCCGTCCTTTTAACCCGTAATAATCTGAATTTCTTAATTAACTACCATCAAAATACCTTTTACGTAATATTATACGTTATTAATTAACGCAGAAAAGAGAGAGAATTTTTTCTAAAATATACCAAGAAATTATTGATTTAATATTGTTGTACCATATGAGACTAGCTACATATAGGTTAATATGGGTTAAAGGCTATCTAGGATCTCCTTATTCTTTGTAGTAAATACGTCGGGCATTAACCACGTTAGAATTATAATCATTCTACTTCTTTCCTCCTTGCATCTTTTACCTTCCTCTGTGTTGTATACTGAATCTACATGCGAAACTTTAGTTACTATGAAAACGAGAATCGGTGGAAAGAAATTTACAAAATGTCAAAAATAAAATTGCAGAGAGCAATTCTAAGCGGGAGAATTCGCTCCGTCTATTGGGCCTCTCAAAATAACTCGAATACATTGCATGACCGAGTTTGATTTTTTTTTCTAATTTTTTATGCATACTTTTTACAAAATTCAAGATATATTTCATAAATTCAATTGATCAAAACGCGGTTGTCGAATAGATCTAGTATACAAACTTATCAGAAATAAACATAATTTGTTATACTTATATGTATACGTCTACATTAGCTTACTCTGTATGGAAAGTACCTTGCACTGTATAATGAAAATATAAAGAAGATTAACATCTTCTTTAGTTTTTTATGTGATTTGTATAAATTAATATCAATACACGTCTTAACAATAGACTGTGATGTAGGGTAGGAGTATTTTCCTATCGTTAAAATATATTTATAGCGAAATAGGAAATAATCTTTGTAGCATAGTATTATTTAGCATTGAGAAATTACAAATTAACAAAAAACTAATAAGTTTTTATAGACTCTTTAAATTAAAACAATTTAGAAAAAATATAAAACATACACAGTGCAGGCAATAACATGATACCGTTGGGTTAAATCATGCATACATTGAGATTTTAAATAAACTTTAAGGTTTGTTCATAATATAATACATGTCATAAACTTTAGTTTGTTTGTCTTCAAATTGACCGCTATGTTACTTATTTAGCAATCATCATTTAACCAACTGTCGAAATGACAAGATACATATTGTTCTTGCAGTTATTATTTTAAAATTTGACGATAATTTTTAACATATTAACGAGTTGCAAAATGTTGCATAAAAGAGATTTATTGTTCAGTGTAGAAGCGTCGACTGTGTGAGGTGAGGTGATTATTAATTTTTAAATTATATACATACGATAATCTAATCATTTATATAATTTTAGCTTAAGTTCTTATTACTACTCAGCTTTCTAACTTTGTGAGTATGTGACTTACCTCACAACAGTTAACGGTTCAATTTTGAGAGAAAAAACGTTGGAGATATTATTTTTTATTTTATTATGCAATACTCCAACCGTTGCGCTAGGGAGAAAGATTGCTGATGAAGACTCAAACCATGAGTGGAAAGTTAAAGTTTATATTTTTAGTATTAAGAAGAATTGCGCTAATTGATAACCAGCATTGACTCCTATTGCCTGTACTGCACGTTTTGTTTTTTCTAAATTATTTAGCATGTTAGTGTGCGACACATTTAAATTTATCCCATGCGTTTATACATATAATTTTTTCTCTTTATGTCAGTATTGGGAAATATTTCTCAAGTCGGATAAAATGGATTTTTAGTAACGATCTATGTATAGATGAGATATATAAGTAATCTATTACGTCTATTACATTAGTTGGCTGGCCCTACTCTACGCTTTATACATATTAACAATGCATTGTGCTTTGATAAAAAATCATTTTGTAACTAATTCCAAATTCAATCTGCGCAGAACCATGACTAGAGAAGACGTGGCAATAATTCAGGAACGCAGAATGTCTCAGCAAAGTCAAGGTATTATATTCACATTTTTTAGTATAATTAATCTTATACATTATGTATAATAAGAATATTATATCTAAATGTAATTTTATAACAAGCGTACATGTAGCTACATGTAAAAAAATTGCATATATGCATTTAAATCAGGGTTGGTAAAAAAAAACGTTTTAAATGTTTTTTTTATAGTACTGTTCAAAGCATATTTGAAGCATTAAAAACATATTCAAGAAGAAACATAATATGTTTTATTCTTAAAAAAAAAACATTAGTCTTTACCAACCCTGATTTAAATTATAGGAATACAATTCTAAAGGAAGTGTCAAAATTGTATACATATATTATATATGTATATATGTATATAATATATTATATCCAGTTGCTGTATATATATATATATATATATCTCGATCCCCTGGAACTCGCGGTCTCGCATAAAGAAACACGGTAGTGTCGCTGCGCTTGGCTTAGCGCCGAGACACTACCGTATCTCTTGATGATAGAGTATATATATATATATATATGTGTGTGTACGATTCAGAAATCAAATTTCTTTATAGCAACTGGAAGTCCCAATCCTATATCACCGAGCTGCCCGCCTGCTACACAGCAACAGCAACAGCAGCAGCAGCAACAACAACAACAACAACAACAACAACAACAACAACAATCTGGTCATCATCGAACTTCATCAGCACCGCCGGCGCCACAACCGCCTCCACAGCAACTACCAACTCTACAAGGTGGCAGCGGTACGATTCCACCGGCTCCGCAAATGTCGGCTGGACCGGGAGTCGGTCCCCCGGTACCACCGCCCCAACCACCGATTGCACCTCCTGCCCCACCGTGCCCACCGACGATGATGAATTTTAGTTCGTCCGCGGCACCGGCACCACCGATGATGATGAATCAGTATGCACAATCACCATCATCCCAGTCAAGTCAACAGTCTCAATGCCAGTCCATCTACGTTTCTAATCAGGCAAACCAATATAGTGCTGCGTCTGCAAGCAATCAGTACGCGAGTGCCACTATTTCTAATAGTGGCAGTGGCACCGGAAGCGGTGCGACCTCCGTTGTGGGCCAGAGCCCGAATCAATTTCCACCATCTGGCAGTCAAAACAACTTTTATGGTACTAATAATCAGACGAGTAATTACACTACTGGCGGACAAGTTAATACAGGCCAATATAACCAATCAGTTGGTAGTCAGGCTACGCAATACGGTAGCAGCGGTAATCAGTATGGAAGTAATAGCTCGATAAATCAGTATGCTGTCGGTCCGCCACCTGGTCCGGTGAGTCAATACGCGATCGCGCAGCCTGGTCAATCGCAGTACGTATCCCAGGCACAAGCACAATATGGCGGTACCGGTCAGGTACAAGCAGCTGCCACAACGAGTGGTACCACAAATCCGTATGGGACACCATCAAATTCGGTGAATCAATACACAACCGGTGGACATCACACAGTCAGCGCTAACGCTTATGCTCCTATCGCTAGTGGTCCTCCGCCGCCTCCAATGGTATCACTGGTTGGTCCCGCTGCACCGCCTCCACCGCCACCGCCGCCTGTACCTAACGCTAACAATTCTACTGCTGTTGCTGGTTCATCTATTAGTTCCTCGAATGATCCTCCACCTGATACCAACTCATTAGCAGCTGCTCTTCAAGCACGTCTTAAAAAGAAACAGGTAATTTTCTTTTCTTTTTAATTTTAATCTTTTAATAATTTAATTCGATAGAATTGTCACTTGTTTGAGGAAACAATATGTATGTATGTATGTATGTACGTATGTACGCGCGCGCGCGCGCGCGCGCGTGTGTGTGTACATACACACACACACACAGGGTGACCCATTTTAACTTAGACAGCCAAATAATTCGAAACATCGCGATTAAATAAAAAAATGTTTGAAACAAAAATTGTTGGATATGAAAGGGCTGATTGAACTATGACCTTGACAATGACCTTGACCTTCATTTTCAAGGTTGTTTGAAGGTTTACTTTCAATTTTCAAATAGAAACCCATATTTTTGATTCAAGAATCTAATAGCTGATGTCGAGAGCTTTCCAAAACGCTATAAT